GTCAGACACAATTGTAACCACCCCTGGGTTTTTATTCTTCCTCTGTATTTGACTTCCAGTCAGACACATTGTAACCACCCCTGGGTTTTTATTCTTCCTCTGTATTTGACTTCCAGTCAGACACATTGTAACCACCCCTGGGTTTTTATTCTTCCTCTGTATTTGACTTCCAGTCAGACACATTGTAACCACCCCTGGGTTTTTATTCTTCCTCTGTATTTGACTTCCAGTCAGACACATTACTTGCATTCTAAAAGTTTTCCTGATCGGCCTTTTTTTCCTTTGTACTGTACATTGTTTACTCTGCCTAAGCAACTCCTGCTGAACAAACGTTTCACAAATCCACACTTGATCTGTGAAAGAACAGCGTCCAGAGTTAGTGGCATGAGTTCACCTGTTGTTTCGTGCGATCACCCTAGTGTCGTGCGGTCAAGAGTCTGATATAAACATATTATGTGTTTTCTACCTGCTTGTATTAATATCGAAATTTTCAAAAATGTTTATTTTATTCTATTTTTACAACACGTTGGTCAAAAATGTCGGTAAGTTCTCCCTTTTACTTTAGCTCCCCATTGTACTATGTCATTCATCTAGAACCTGACATGGCTTGGTGGTTAGGGCACTTGACTCGCAGTCTGCGTGTTATGGGACCGAGCTCTGTCACCGAACATGCTCGTTTTTCCAGCGTGGGGGCTTTATAATGTGACGGTGATCCCCACTATTCAAGAGAATAAATAATACAGAGAAGGATAAAGAGAAGGCAGCTAGTCAACACCACCCATCGCCAACTTTTGGGCTACTCTTTTACCAACATATAGTGGAATTAACCACCACATTATAACGTCCCCGCAGCTAAAAGGATGAGCATGTTCGGCGACCCGCAGATTACGACTGGAGAGCCTTAAACACCAGGCCATTCCTATTTGTGTCTTACAGAGAAGCATGTGGATACCTGCTTTGTGCATTTCAGGACTGTGGCGTATAAGAATGGTATATTTTTCTTCATGAGTGTTTGCAAGGTTCACTACGTCTGTTGCTATTTAGTTTGATGATACGACGGATTACTATAGTCACAGGTGAGGTGCGTTTCTGCACCAGTTACTAAGCAAAATACAGTTTCGACAAATCTTTATTGCTTGGGAATACTCTGAAGACCTTAATACGTTATCAGAGAGTTTGTAGTGAGACAGATGGATTGATTTTCCTTGTGCTTTCCTTCAAAGAAGACTTCACACTGTGGTTGTCGTACACTATCCACGGGACGAACATCGTGATTGATCAAATCATCACAGTTCTAGATAGCTTCCTTGGACACAGGTATGTTCGTTGACAACTTAATGCTATCAAAGATAACACATGTATAATCTGAAATCACCAGATCTGGCTATTGAGTTGACTGGTCTGTGACTGGATCTTCTTCTTTTACTGAGTCTCCATTTTTATAGATAAATCTACACTTTACCACAGCATGGGCGGAGTCTGTCTTCAGCTGTCATAACATGCAACTAATGGTAGAGAACTCGTACTTTCCTATCACATCACTGAACACAATATAACGGGAAGCATGGAATTAGATACGTTGAGACTCAGAACTTTAATGTCTTTGTCATTTCGTCCTAGATAAAATTATCACCACAGAGCCTTACCCATAGGAATGTTCTGTATGTTGTTTCATCTGTTTTTTTCTGTGTCTAGTTTGTTTTCCTGCACGTTGTATAGCATGATTTTGTTTTTTGAGATATATAATATCTTTAGATTTGATGCTATTTGTGGTCTCTGTTACTCTGAACAATTTGGACTTGGACAATACTTCTTTCAATTGATTAAATTAAAATACGTTTCTTGACGCACCAAGTCCAAATAGGTATTGTTAATTTGGCGACCATTTTGAATTTGTCGTCCATCTTTAAAGCTGACGTTATCGATATTTATATCACATTTTGTTATTAAGTCATATAAAGGAAGGTTAAATCACTTACACATCTATCTGTTAGAGATCATATAGTTATCAAAACAATAGAAAACTGGTTTCATGAAAAAATGTTTTCAAGATGGCCACCAAGAAACAAAACATTTTTTTTTTGCATATTTTAAATCATAATTGAGATAAATATATCTACCACGTATTTTGCGATATTACATTAACATATACCACCGCAATTTTGTCTCTCTCTCTATCTGGAGAGAAATTCGACACATTCTATGATTTTGATTCATGAACAATGAAAATAAGATTGTATTTTTACAAAGTCAATCTTTTTGTTGTTTATTCATAAGCGGAGTTTAAAAGCCCGAAAATTATTGTTTGCAATAACGAAACCGTACAGTTTTGTTGTTAGTAATGTTCTAGTTTCATAATTACACTCTTTCAAAAGTTTTGTTAATCAGTTGTGTCGAGTCCTTCGTTTACTGGCCATTATAAACTAATATCCGTCGTTTCAGTAGTATTAATATTAATTGTTGTCCAGTGTCAGTAACATGAATTATATGCAGATGATTAAAGTGTATATTAATTCATTAAAATTTAAAAGTAAAGAGCTTGTTTAAAATTAGTAGAAAAGATAGTAATAAAGAAAAAATGTAGAACAGTTAATTTATATGTTGATTGTTGAAAGTTACTTTTGTTTTTAATACAAATATAAAAAATGTATTAAACAAGTTAATAACTGTATAAAGCATTACCTTGGTAATATTTTGTCAAAACATCCTATTTGCTAGAAATTCTGTGGTTACAATGTTATCTAGAAGTGTTTTTGTTTGTTTGTGTTAGTACAAAATATACTCGATCCCCGCGCCAGACACAGCGCAGATGGTTCATTGTGCAGAATTCAAGCGTTAGGGGCCCTCAAGCTTACTTCTGTCAAGAATACAGAATAATTCTCAAATGAGCTTGTATTATTCAGAATTAAAACGTAAAAATAATACTGACGTTAATCTTAGTGCATGTAAAGTTAAAAAATAATCCTGACACTAGTCTCTGTGCTTGTAAAGTTAATAAATAAATACCACCATAATACTAATGAATATATAACTTACTGACTCCACTTTTTTGAGAACACTAACTTTCGTTACTTACGAAAATATTTAAAAGTAATGATGTTATACCGATTGTCCAAAATTTTAATCTTTGTTTGTTTGTGTTAAGCGCGAGCTTAAATAATGGGCTATCTTTTCTATGCCCACCGCAGGAACTGAGCTCCTAAGCTCTCCTGAGAGCAACCTGAGGGGAAAGTTTGTTTATTCCTAAATATTTATCGCTTCTTGTTGTAACTTTCCAAATTTCTATACATTAATGTGTTTTATGTGTTTGATTCTTCTAATCAAAGAGATCTTTTATTGATAAAAACGGCCTGTTGTTTGAGGAACGTGACTCGAGTATACAGTGCAACGTGTTTGTTTACTTATAAATCTTGGATTCTGAGTATTCGATATAAACGTCACTTTGCACACATAAACATAAGCTCACGTACAAGCCATCGCGTTTATGAATTTAAAATGCCATCCAAAGTATCTTTTCTTGAAATGAAAATGTCAGACAAAATACTCTTCTTCAGATTGCTTGCTTTAGTCAATTTCGCTGGTACACGGGAATCAGCACCGTAATAATTATACGGCTGAAACATTAGCATATATTGTCTGCTACTGTCTTATACATATGGAAACAATAAAAATGTCTGAAACTGCCAGTGTCTATATCTTATATTAATTCTGTTAGTACCTTTATACGTTCACCCAGCTATCTGCTCCACCATTTCTGCGGCTAGGAGGACCAAATTCGGCAGAATGAATCGGAATAGGGGATGGTCACCTAGGAATGATGGGGTTTAGGAGTAGGTTTCCAAGGTCGCCGAACCCGAATCTAGCATCTGATTTTGTGTTCCTGCCACCTTCGGGCTCCCAGGGGTTCATCTATTATACTGTGCTTATATTTCCTCTTATGAGCTAGCATGATCAATCTTGGTACACGTGCCCAGATACCGTGGGAAGTTGTCCCAACGGTTTTTTTTTTTGGAGGGGGATATGGATGTCCTTGGGGTAGCTATAGAGGAAAATGGGGATAATGGAGGTATTTAATCTGTACATCTGTACGTAAAATTATTAACTTTCATTCTTTTAGAAACTAATATATGGATATTTGTTTTTCAGGAAAGGTCGGATTAATTTACAGAAACATCAAAGTTTCATATATAACATATGTTCTACGTTTCAAACGTTAATTCTTTCTAAAAGTATTTTCCTTAATTTAAGACTTTCACCATTCCAAAGGAACCGAGAAGATACCGAAATTCACGAAGAGTAAAGTCACAGATGTCGCTCACACTTACCACGAGGAAACTGAAGCCCCGAAAGAAGAAGCTCGAGGAACTGCCGATTTAGACCGTAACAATAACGACAGCAGACGAGGATCACTCGAAAGTGAGTCGGAAAATGTTAGAGAATTCCGAGAAGATTCCGGCAGTAATAATTATACAGTTCAGAGTGATTCAAGTGGAAAAACGTCTGATTCAGAAACTTTAGATAAAGTCTATAAAAGTCAGATTGGTAGTTCTCAACCAATAAGTGACACTCGAGACAGAGTTCAACTTTTGAAAAAAATCAATGCCGACTCCATCAAACTGATTGAGTTAAAACGAAACTCTGAAAGAACAGGGTAAGTTTAATTTATCCAAGACAAGTATATTTTACACGTTTACCGATAAATAAAATAAAAATTTAAACTAAATTATTTTTTCAGGCATATTGTTTAAAATATTGCACGATTTCAATCAGTACGTAACTTTTTCAGTACTGTTTAGGAAACTGAATTCACAAGTAAGATTGTGAAACAATAAAGTTAAACCTACAGTTTTCTTTCTACACTACTCTCATAATTATAGTTTATTATGCTCATATTAAAAACTCGGATAATAATGGGTCGTTCGTGATTGCATTCGTGTTTGAATTACACATACATAGATGGGCTTTCACGATCTATGGCAGTGACAAAAGGGTGTGGGTGTTTTGTCTTAATGTAGCCATACCTAAATGGGACGTATTTCGTACAAAGATGGCACTTAGCCGGATATTTTGTAAAAAGTTCATTTGGCAGTTTTCTTAACTCTACGGATTTTTAACTTATCATTATAACTGTAACCTGGAAACACCAAAAATCCCTTAAAAAAACTCTCGTGACAACTCTGTACTACTTTTTAAATATTGTAACATCGGCAGAGCAATAATAAATCACCCGAACATTTGTTGCACTCTCATAAATCTGCCCGATTTCACAAATAGTGACATGTCAGATTCCACTCGTGCAACATTAAATAGTTGTTTTTTACTTTTGTTCGGCTCTTTGCTTTGGGAACAGTTTGTAAAGCTGGCTTTAGTGCGGCTCTTCTAAACCTACACCAATTAATTAAGTTAATTATCTTGTTTACCGTTTCAAGGGAGTGTCTTACTTTAGCTGCAAGGAACTGCTGTATTCTTGGGCTACTTCCGATGACAAGATGTTTAACTTTTTTCACTACTTCCGGTGTACAACTGGTATCTGGTTATGTAATATGCTTTTCCTATACTAGAATCACACCTTCCACCCTGCTTTACAAATACAGTTCAACACTATAGATAGCTCCTTCTTCGAAACGTTAAATTTCCTACCTTGCATGCGTTTACAATCCTGCGATAGGAGGATTTTGCAAAAGTCCTATAATGCTAACCACTTAAAAAAAAGAGACCAATCTAACAAGTCATCATATATCAATTATAATGTAACTCGCTCAGAAGGGGTCAATCTTAGGCGACATCTGCACTTACAAATCACCATATATTAAATACATTGCAACAGGAGGGTCAGGAATTTTAATCTGTGTAGTCTCAGACTATAGAGGGCCTAGGGCAAAGTGATTTGATATTCCAAATGTTACTATAGATTGTGAACAATCCTCCGAATGGTGGATGTGACGAATTAATGTTTGCATGTTCAGAACAAGGTTGATAATTCAACAACATACACTAATCTACAGGTCAATGTCGGGGACATCTGTATCTAGCGATTCAGCCATGGGAAGCAGTGAATGCGGTCATTTTGTTCGACTCCAGGATTTAGAGACGGACCTTATGTGAGCACTTTAGATTGCTTTTATAGATTGACATTCACGATTTCACTAATGTTATTTTCTGCATGTTTATCTTAATACTAAAAGATCACTGGAGATGATTACGGTCAAAATAAGTTATCGAACGATTTTAGTATGTAAGATAGTGCATTTCTTGAAGAAAGGGTTTATTATAACAGATTTGGACCTGATAACGTTTGCCAATCTGAAATAACGATAAATATTTAAAGAGCCCAAAGATAATAGAGCATCGTTAGAAAAATTGAAAACCTGTTGACTTTTGTTGAGCTGAGATGATCAGGAATATCTAAAAACTAAAAATTGTTGTGTTATCTTTGAAATGAATATCTGTGTAAGTTTGAAAGTGGTGGAATGATGTAAGTGCTACATTCACATACATGTTTTTAAACAATGAAACAGAGCATTTTGATAAATAATTCAAGCTTTGTAGAGTTTTGGATTTTTTAAATTGTTCCAAAATATTCATTGGATCTAAGCAATTACTATCTAATTGTCTATGCATATTGTTGAAAAGAGGGTTAATGATGTTACATGTGTATATATACAGCTTAGAGTGCAGAACGCCTTAGCCGACGAAGCATGCCATTTGTTTTATTGTAATGTAATATCACGAATCTATTGCTACTAACTGTGATGTTTCGCCAGAGAATACTTTCTGCACCTCAAGAGTTGTTGTTCGGTAAACGACTAATATAAAATGTGCTTCAAGCAGAACTGTCAGTGCCCTAACCTAGACGGTCTGATGAACTCTGGTATTGGCCGAAAAGCTTCGTCAAAACAGCTAACAATAAATATTTTCATATATTCAAGGATACTGGGAACCCGAATTGTGGCAATAGAGAAAGATGATATGTAAACTATTATCAATCTTATTATAATGTAACATAAAACATAATGTAAACGTTACTACTATATTACACGATTTGTTTACGTTCGAATGATAATATGAACAACGTAGACCTTTACGAACACACATAATCAAGCACATTTCTATTCACTTTTACGTCTGCATAATTGAATATTTTACATAAAACACGAAATTTACAATAAATTGTTAGTAACGTTATAACTCAGTGCAAACTTCGTCTGATTGAAAAACCTGTAAAGAAAATTCGGCGTGAAGAATTTGTTTCGTTATAGAATTAAGAGCAATATGGTTGGAAGCCACCTACCGATTAGGTCAAAATTTGATACTGTTATTGCTCAAAATTTAAACAAAAAAAAATAAATAAAACATATGCTAAAATTGAATATAATTAGTTTTTATGACAATGACCAAGTTGTTAATACCGTATAGTGTTTTTACAGATCAATTTCATTTTCATCAAAACATATAATTTCTTTCATCTTCTGGCACCACGTTATTATTATTATTATTATAGAGTTTAATCTAACTATGATGATATTTTATTTAAGCGTTTTCTGTGTTTGTTTGAGAGCAAAGCCACGTTGGGGAAATCGAATCCCGGATTTTAGCACTGTCAGTCCGAAGACTTGCCGCTATCCCATCGGGGGACTTTAGTTAAGCAGCAGGCCAAATCTGAAAACTAAACTGTATATCTCCAGACTGTTACGTATTGCAATTTCGAATGGTCTGAAACCGAGCTAAATGATAGTTAAATACATGCCGATATATATTCAATTTCTGATATTTGCCAACAAGATTGATACACACAGTTTTTTATTTAATACAAATATATTTTAATATATAAACAACAATACAATGTACAATAAGTTATTTCGAATAGTTATTACAAACAATGATTTATGTACAGAAGTTTCACAAACTTACAAGCAATATAAAGTCTTCTTTTTAGGCTAGAACTTCCTTGATGTCTTATCGAGGGTTGACGATGAGCGAGTTAATTTCGAGTTGACGTAGATATAATTTAACAGGGAGTTAGCTAGCCTTGTAGTTCTCGCTGATCACAGGCCGAGTTTCCACCAATGACGTTAGGTAATGTTTTCGTAAAAGTACTAATGTCTGATGTGAATCCACTGAAGTTGAATGATTTGTAATGTTCGAAATTTATAAATGTTCCTGGTCAAATATCTGAAGTGTCCCGATTGCTAAGCGTTATAACAATCACTGTTATAACCTCCAAAGTTTATAGCACACCAATTACAACAACCTAATAATAGGTACTCTTTTTAGGTGCGTCGCGTTGGTTATATTTATAGGCGTGTGGAGAGATTCTCGAAGATTCAGATTACGTAACAATACAAAGCTGCACAGGCGTTCACGTATATATATATATATATATATACACACACACACACACACACACACACACACACACACACACACACACACACAC